TCATCTAAACCAAATTATAATCACTGATCATCAATATTCAATTCCAAAATTAAATTTATATCCAAGAGTTCATAAACATCCAAGAGAAACAATATTACTTGCTCAAACCATCTCAAGTGCATCAACCAATTAATATCAAGAATTTTATCATTTAACGATATCATATAGTCATATAATATTCACGAAATTTAATTAAATGGACCTCCATAAAGGTTTCCCCAAGAAACTCCCTACCTAGATTCCATGCTAAGAATAAGACATGCCTCGCCAACACAACAATGAAATACAAGTCACACGATAACTGAAGTCCCTATTCCAACAAATAAAAAGTGTGACCATTTGTCCCGTAAGTAGTAACGAAATGCTATCCAATTTATTTATAACCAGGATTCCTTACATTCCCCCTTAACTCTACTCCAATTTCATTAGAGTCCTTCATTTTACTAAAATTACAAATCTGTCCCTGAATTTTCAATAATTACACTTTGGCCCCTTCACGTTTGATAAATGACAAAACTGCCCCCCAAATTGCATAATAATTTGCACACAGGTCCCTACTGCGAATCCAGTTAATTCCCAGGCCAAATTCCAGAGTTTCTTCTTCCAATCTCCATCTCAATACCATTTACACAATTAAACCTCATATAATTTATCCAAATCACTCAAGTTATGCATTAAACTCCAAAATTGTCATGTGCTCTCTTCAAAGTGGGTCCATTCATGAGTTGGTGGAAGTTGTTACATGTTTATTAGTTGATGCATAATTGTAGGAGTTTGCATATTTCTAGACTTTAGTTGTTGAGTAGTTGTAGGAGTCAAGTTAATCCACTTCTATAGTGTTGGCCCCGTGGGAAAGCTTCCATCTTTCTATGCTTTTAGTTAGAGTCTTTGTCCGTATAAATTTAGGACTTTTCATTAATGAGATATCAGATATTATTTTTTAATGTTTTTTGTTTTATGACCTATTTTATTTAGAGAGACGATAATATACTAAACTCACACCTACAACACAAATACTAGGATTCAAACCAACTTAGGAGAGCAATTACTCCAAATAACTACACTAGTGGGTCCTTTAGCTCTATCCAAAAACAAAACGTGGGTCCCTTAGCTTGTCTAACTTGGAAGTTTGGGTTACCTCAAAGCAACCCTATTCATCTAGCTGTTATCCCAATTGAGCCTTCTAATTATTGCTATAAACATTTAAGGCCGTAAGAAGAAAACTACATACCAACTTCCTGTACCCTATTGCCCAATCCCACGAGCCATGTCCCAAGCACATAACAAAAAACCACAAAATCTCATGAACCTGAACATTGTACAATATTCCAGCAATCAATCTAACCTAAATCTATATCTCACTTTCTCTGAATTCATTTTCAATCCTTATATAAGCTTCCACTTACAACAAAAAAACCTAAATAACAACTTAAACCATTGGATTGAACCTTACAAACTCAAAAACCCCAAATTGAACGAATTTAAAAATCTGAATAACAGCCCGCTATACCTTAGATTGTTGCGCTCAATCTCACGATCACATAGGCGAAAACCGTTCATCAATCAGAGCTCTATAACTAAAGATATGATTTTCTGAAGATGTTGAAGACAATTTCTTTCGTTTGAACCTGTACATAGGGGTGGACATCTCATCCGAATTACCCGCGTACCGACCGTACCATACCGAAGGTTTGGTTTGGTTTGGTTTGGTTAAATAATTATTTTTAAATTTTAATTATTCCGATCCAATCCATACTGAGATATTTGGTTTGGTTAACGGAACAATATTTCTAACCCGACGGAAACCCGAACCGATCCGATATTTATAATTATTTTATTATTTAAATACAAAACAAGAAACTAAAGATAAATATAATCAGCACTTTGTATCACTCCTTTATCATTGTTGTATCACTTCTTTATCACCATTGTATCACTATTTTATCACCATTCTATCACTTCTTTATCACTCGGGTACTGTAGCACTTTTTGGTCAGAGATGAATTTATGAATTTCCTATGTTTTCTAGTTTCGACCTTTGTCACCTTTTTTACCTGTAAATTTCCAACTGTTGATCCAAATTTTATTTTCTTTATATGGTTGGATTCAGCATGAAAAACTAAAGAACCCCGCATGGAACAAATGTCAAAATCATTTACATAAATGTAGAGAATTCAGTAAAAATAACACTCAAATGTTCAAACAACAAACACAAGTGGCTCCCATTACATCTTGAGTATATATTGAATGATATAGTGACTAAGTTATTTGATTTCATACTTGGATGAATTAGACTATTGGATTTTTATATTTTACAAGGATAATTTGGTATATTTGTTCAAGAACTTATGTTATGTGAAAGTATTATAAATTATATTTTTATTAGTATGTTTTTATTACGGTACCACCGGCGTACCGAATCAATCCAAACCGAATATTAGGTTAACCGATCCGAAGTCAACCGAAGTCTTTGATTTGGTTAACGGAAGAGAAAATGGCTTACCGAAGTCTTTGGTTTGGTTAACGGAAGAGCCTTCTACCGTTCCGAACAGATTCGTGCCCAGGCCTACCTGTACATATCGAAGGAGAAGAAGAAAGAAGTCCAAGCTGACTTTGGGCTTCTAATCCAGCAATTCTCTAAGTTTTTTTTTTTCTCTATTTCAAGCAATCCAACTACAGCTTCCATGTGTCACTCTCTAAGTGGATCAATATTGAATATTCATTAGGGTCCCATAAAAATTTCCCGAAAATATCCTACGAACTCATAATTACATGTACTTTCATCTTATGACTTCCAAACTACCATTTGACTTCCACAAACTTTTAAATATTTTCTTGTTCACTTCTAATAAACCACAAACCAAATGAATTTGGAATCCTTAATTTGGAATCACTGCCAAGGCAAGTGACAACCGCATCTTCTGCTCAGGGGGTGCTATGTATGCCGCATCAGGCGGGAATCGAAAGCGTGTAGAAATTGGTGTTAGGCATCTGATTGTTAATGGCATGACTTTTTCTGGTAAGCATAATTTTGTGTCAAGGACTTTGTTGACAAGGCGAAGGAGACCAGGCTAGAGGGGTCCCCAAGGTCTCCTTGATAATTCTCATCTCAAACGTTCGTGGCCTTAACAACCAATGATCTTTTATGCTATATAGATCTTTCTTCGGAAATTTCTTTAGGCTAAGAGGCCAATCTTGGTCTCCCCTGCTTGTTAGCTGGGGTTCTTGATCAAGAAAATTGGAGGTGGTAGTTGGTGTTTGGCTTGATCTGTTTTGATGCCCACAATACGTTTTTGAATCTGTACGAAGAACTATGATGCTTTCTTTAGATCATAGGAGGTTTTCTTTGACAATACATGCGTAGTGATGGGATGTATTTCAATGGTTTTGCGGTTTATGTTTGGTTGGATCTATTCTAATACCCACAATATGGTTTTGACTCTATACTAAGAACTATGATACTTTCCCTAGATCATAAGAGGATTTCTGTGACAGTACAGTGTAGTGATGGAATGTATTTTAAGGGTTTTGTGGTTAGGGATGACAAAATCCCCGTCAGGTCCCAAACCCTAACTTGGGGAGATTTCGGGGCCAAACAAAGATCGGGTACGGGGATCCCCAAATTTTAAAAATCCATGACGGGTATGGACTAGGGATGGTATTGACGTTCCCATCCCCGAACTCGGCCCGATAATTATATGTTTCTTTTTAAATTAATAAATGTATAATATAATATAATATTTTGTTATCTTAGCCCATAGAAATCTCCCCCATAGCTCTCTCTTTTCATAGCACTGACCCTCCCACTTTTTCTTATCCTCATCCTCCTCATTGTTGGTCATATTCATGTGACTATTGGAGAGTTGAAAGCCCTAGGCATTGTCAATTTGAGTGAAAATCAGCTCAATGGAAGCATCCTTCTGGAAACTGGTAGGGGTTTTTCGTTGAAGGAGTTGAGATTGGAAAAATACTTTCTTCTCTGCTAGGGATAAATTATTATAGGATATGATAATTACTATAGTCTTCCAAACATAAAACTATTTGAGAGTGAAGGGAGTGAAATCATATATTTAGTTAGATTTTAGAACATCAAAGAATGATAAAGGTCTCTTCTTAGAGTTCGCATATAGTTCCTTTATTGCCAAAGCATAAATTGTCAAAATGGATTCATGTTTTGAAACTCTTATTTTGCATATTGATTGTTATATTTAAATTAAATGTTTTGAATGACTTCCCGAAACTGATAAAACGGGGAGCCGAGGATCTTATTTTCTACCCTGGGATTTTATTGCTTATGTTTAGTCAAGTATATAGGCAATACTCTTTCCTACCCTAGGATTTTATTTTCTCCGAGAAGGTTTTAACGCTACATTTGGGATTGTTTTTTTTGGCCAAAAACCTGCTTAACTTTAAAATTAAGCAAATTAAAGTGTTTGGTAATAAAATATATCGATTATTTTAAAAGCAGTGACCTTTTTCACAGTAACTTTTAAAAGTAAGCTTTGGATTGCTTTTCAAAAGAAGCAGAGATAAACCTTCAATGAATTTTTTTAAATTCCCAAAATACCATCATTCATTTTTAAAATGACACCACCTCCACCTCCACCTTGACATCCAACTCTACCAACTCCACGACCACCGCCATTACCGCCACCACATCCTCCTATGCCACCACCATCACCACCACATCTTTATCCGCCACCACCACCACAACCACTCCTCCTCCTCCATCTCCACCACCTCCACATCCACCATCACCTCCACCTCCACAACCGCCATCCCCACCACCACCACTACCATAACCACCACCTCCACCACCACCTCTTTCACCACCATCTTCACCTCCATCTCTTTCACCACCTCCACTACCACCACATAATTAGCACATAACACTTTCAACATCATGTATATTTGAGTCATTATTCATAGTTACAACAATTTTATATTAAATTTTACCAAATAGTTTTGACACTACTTTTTGTACTAACAGCACTTTAAAAAAATTATTTACCAAACATGAAGCTATTTTACTTTACAACTAATTATTTTCAACATGTAATTATTTAACGAAGCCGTCACTAACATGCTAATTCTTAACATGTAATGTTTCCTATGGTTTAATACCATCTTTTCTCCTTGGGAAAAAAAAACAAAAAAAACAAAAACCATCTTTTCTCAGCAACAACAACAAAAACGCATGTCCCTCATGTAAATGGCATGTTGCCTAAAAAGAAAAACAGATTTGCGCATCCAGGGAATCGAACCCTGGTCAGTACCGTGGGAGGGTACTATGATACCACTACACCAGATGCGCTTGTTTATTCTAACGTCACCAAACAAGATATTTATAGAAAAGGGATTACCAAAAATCTTTTTTCTTCTTCATCGTACGCAGATTCTGAGAATTAGAACGCAAAATTTATTTACCAGTTGACTAGTGGGAATAAACTTCTCTGGCTACACAACGGCTCTCTATACAGCTCCTAAAATATGAAGATGTCGTGGCTCTTAAAAAGTACGCAGTCATGAATGAGAGGAAGAGAGGATAACGTTGCTTGATACAACTGGGATGCCCCCGAAGTTAGAAAAGTATTATAAGGGTCGCCAAATGGAAATCATTGCAAAACGGATGCGGAGTAAATTTAATCCACAAGTTCGATATAACACAATTCCTTCACGATTTTATTTGAGGGAAGGCATATTCACCAGAAGAATTATGATGGTATTATTAAAATTCCAGTACCAGGTTCTGATATTGTTACTATTATTAAATATGGAATTTCTGATGTACAAAGATGTTCAACTATCTAGCAGCACATTTTTGGATGCGTAAACTGTTCAGGTTATGAGCTTATTTTGTCTCAGGAAGCTTCTCTAGCAACTCTGGTATCACTTCAAAGATATCGCCTACAAGTCCATAGTCAGCAACCTGTAACGTACATCAAAGAGTTTATTATTAGAATGGCAAAAATTAGCAGCATGTAAATCCATTTATGCCATATCTTTCCAAAAATGCTTGACAGCTACATACAGAACAAACAAGTTTTGCAGAACGAAAAATCCTTAAACCAAATACATTATATGGTCCACATTTTAAGAAACTAAGTTCTTTTTTTGTTTCCTTCCCTTTTTGGCAGCTGAGGAAGCAAAAAATTACTTTGCCTTTTGGCTCTTTCAGTGAGGACTGAATTCTGCAGACTTTGAAAAGAATGCATCTTGTATCATAACCTTCAGATCTGAGAGGCCAACTGTACGAATTACCATTAACCTTGACAATTATGAGAGAGAGTTCAAGCCATCACCTGGAATATGGGGGCCTCTGCATCTTTGTTCACAGCAACAATGACCTTGGAATCTCTCATGCCTGCTAAGTGTTGAATGGCTCCAGAAACACCAAAAGCCATGTACAACTCTGGGGCAACTATCTTTCCAGTTTGGCCAACCTAATACACAAAGTAACCACATTCTAAGGCCAGGAGAACCAAAAAAAAAATTGAAAATCAGAACATAGGACTAATTATAATATGCACCCTTTTTGAGACCCAATGCATTTCATATCCTCAAGATAGTGCAAATGGTTAAGATTCATGACACCTATTTATATATGTAAGATTTAGGAAGAGATATGGCGAATAATGTGAGCATTCAAGTCCCTTGCCTGTTATTAAAAAGAAAAAAGCATGTGTACTAGAAAAAGTATTTCAAATATGGCATCTGCACTGCAAGCCTTCTAGCTGGGATGAGAAGCTGAAGCATTTTTCTATTTTTGTGTTGCATAATGTCAACTAGTAAATTCAGACCACAAAAAAAAAAAGTCAACTAGTAAACAAATGAGTTTTGACAGTTTCAATACCATGAAGAATAGGCTACAAATGAAACACTTGATGTGGAAGGGGCATGAGTGAAGTTCCAGCTTATGGTGTATTGAAAATGCTAAAGATACATAGAAGTTAATACATTCTTCAAAGTTGGAAAGAACCATTATCAACGTTACCTGAAGGTCATTAGGAACATATCCTGCATCAACAGCAGCACGGGTAGCTCCAACTAAGCAAAAAAGAAGAAAGAAATGTCAGATTTTCTTACCCGTTTGCAACAACAGCATATGCCTGTAAGTTCAAGTATGGAAGGTTCAAATTCTTCAAATTCTGAATATAATGTTTATGACAACTCAACTACACATCATATTAAAGTTATGAGAAGCATGGAAAGTCATTAGCATGACGCTTGACAGGTCATCAGCACACACGCACAGTCACGGGACAAGTCACACACGCAGAGGCAAACAACAATAAGACACACACAGAGAAACAGTACCAAAAATAATACGGATGCTGGAAAAGAAAAGAATGGAGTTATGAGCACGAAAAATATTACAATGGAATTACCAACAGCACTAACAAACACAAGCACAAGAATACAGATGCTGGGAAGAAAAAAAAAAGGAGTACTAACAAAAAACAATATTTACAAGGAATTACCAGCTGCAGCAAGTTTCTCAGCAAGTTTTTCTATCATTTTGAAGTTTTCAGCACTTTTCAATGCACGGCCCCCAGTAACCACAACACGAGCATTCCCAAGATCAGGGCGTTCTGTATCCTGTGATGTGTGTTTTACATATCGAGATTTACCAACAGAATCTGCAGATGAGATACTAAACCATGTTAATAGATGGCCTATGTTTTAATTGCCAATTAGGTAGCAATTTAGCAAATTGATCAGCCAGATCCATTTGATGGACAAAAATCACCCAAGACACTGTTGATTTTGAAGCATTACCACGAAATGAATCCACAGATGGACATAGAAGCAGTCACATACAATTCTAGCTAAATAAATTAAATTTTAAAGGTATATTTGGCCACTAAAAAGTTTATGGATTAGAAAATGACAAACAGACCTTCACCAAAGGTGGAGAGATCAACCTGGGTGATAGGAGCTTCATTTGATTTTGAATTGGCTAAGATGGAGGGCACTGGAAAGGATGTTGATCTAACTGTCAACAAGCAAGGTCCAGCACCGGTGTATCGAACAGTACAAAGTGCATTACCAGCATATATTGGCCTGCCATATGAAAATATCATCTTACTTCTAGCCAGATGAAATCGACATTTACCACAGATACCTGTCAACCAAGAGATGCTTGCGCAGGAACATGAACAAACCCATCTAGAACCTTGCCAAAAGTGAAACAAGATACCAGAGCTAAATGTAAGCCATTCTGGCTTGCATCTGATTTGGATAAGTTGAAACTTTGGCAGGGAAATCCCTGAGTTTCTACCTATCGGGAATTGGGTTGACAAAAACTCTTGTGCCAAAAAATCAGAAGAATAAAGAATTAAAAGCACTTGAGTTTTTAGTACAGTAAGGACGCTTGTAAATGTTGACTATAAACTGTTTAGATTTGAAGAGCTCTTCTTGTCTGGTGAATTATAATATGGTCTTGCTAATGCGGCCGTAGTGGCTTTGATTGGTTGTATTTTCAGTGAACTGCTATTTCATTGTGGTGTACTGTTTCTTTTCACTGAAGTCATTACGTGCAAAAGAAAAACAAATTTCAAACAACAGTTTACATAACAGGAGAAATGATCACAACAACAGCCATATAACCAAAGTTACCTGACGAATAGATGAGGGTCTGAAATTTCAATCACATCCGTGATCGGAGAAACATCTAAAAGGGCAGCTGCCCTTGGCAGTATGTTCTTGCCAAACGAACCTGAAGCAGTGATTACATGTGAGTACCCGCCCTTCTGCT